ATTTTAACCTAACCTACACAGTGCATCTAACGTGTGTGGGAGCATGGAGGGTCCCTTTAATAATATAAACCCACCCAGTATAACTAACTGTAACCTAACCTACACAGTGCACCTAACGTGTGTGGGAGCCTGGAGTGACCCTTTAATAATATAAACCCACCCAGTATAACTAACTGTAACCTAACCTACACAGTGCACCTAATGTGTGTGGGAGCCTGGAGTGTCCCTTTAATAATATAAACCCACCCGGTATAACTAACTGTAACCTAACCTACACAGTGCACCTAATGTGTGTGGGAGCCTGGAGTGTCCCTTTAATAATATAAACCCACCCGGTATAACTAACTGTAACCTAACCTACACAGTGCATCTAACGTGTGTGGGAGCCTGGAGTGTCCCTTTAATAATATAAACCCACCCAGTATAGCTAACTGTAACCTAACCTACACAGTGCATCTAACGTGTGTGGGAGCCTGGAGTGTCCCTTTAATAATATAAACCCACCCAGTATAACTGTAACCTAACCTACACAGTGCACCTAATGCGTGTGGGAGCCTGGAGTGTCCTTTAATAATATAAACCCACCCAGTATAACTGTAACCTAACCTACACAGTGCATCTAACGTGTGTGGGAGCCTGGAGTGTCCCTTTATTAATATAAATCCACCCAGTATAACTAACTGTAATCTAACCTACACAGTACATCTAATGTGTGTGGGAGCCTGGAGTGTCCCTTTAATAATATAAACCTACCCAGTATAACTGTAACCTAACCTACACAGTGCATCTAACGTGTGTGGGAGCCTGGAGTGTCCCTTTATTAATATAAATCCACCCAGTATAACTAACTGTAACCTAACCTACACAGTGCATCTAACGTGTGTGGGAGCCTGGAGTGTCCCTTTAATAATATAAACCCACCCAGTATAACTAACTGTAACCTAACCTACACAGTGCATCTAACGTGTGTGGGAGCCTGGAGTGTCCCTTTAATAATATAAACCCACCCAGTATAACTAACTGTAACCTAACCTACACAGTGCACCCAACGTGTGTGGGAGCCTGGAGTGTCCCTTTAATAATATAAACCCACCCAGTATAACTAACTGTAACCTAACCTACACAGTGCACCTAATGTGTGTGGGAGCCTGGAGTGTCCCGTTAATAATATAAACCCACCCAGTATAGCTGTAACCTAACCTACACAGTGCACCCAGCGTGTGTGGAAGCCTGGAGTGTCCCTTTAATAATATAAACCCACCCAGTATAACTAACTGTAACCTAACCTACACAGTGCATCTAACGTGTGCGGGAGCCTGGAGTGTCACTTTAATAATATAAACCCACCCAGTATAACTAACTGTAACCTAACCTACACAGTGCATCTAACGTGTGTGGGAGCCTGGAGTGTCCCTTTAATAATATAAACCCACCCAGTATAACTAACTGTAACCTAACCTACACAGTGCACCTAGCGTGTGTGGGAGCCTGGAGTGTCCCTTTAATAATATAAACCCACCCAGTATAACTAACTGTAACCTAACCTACACAGTGCATCTAACGTGTGTGGGAGCCTGGAGTGTCCCTTTAATAATATAAACACACCCAGTATAACTAACTGTAACCTAACCTACACAGTGCATCTAGCGTGCGTAGGAGCCTGGAGTGTCCCTTTAATAATATAAACCCACCCAGTATAACTAACTGTAACCTAACCTACACAGTGCATCTAACGTGTGTGGGAGCCTGGAGTGTCCCTTTAATAATATATACCCACCCAGTATAACTTACTGTAACCTAACTTACACAGTGCATCTAAGGTGTGTGGGAGCCTGGAGTGTCTCTTTAATAATATAAACCCACCCAGTATAACTAACTGTAACCTAACCTACACAGTGCATCTAACGTGTGTGGGAGCCTGGAGTGTCCTTTTAATAATATAAACCCACCCAGTATAACTAACTGTAACCTAACCTACACAGTGCACCTAACGTGTGTGGGAGCCTGGAGTGTCCCTTTAATAATATAAACCCACCCAGTATAACTAACTGTAACCTAACCTACACAGTGCACCTAACGTGTGTTGGAGCCTGGAGTGTCCCTTTAATAATATAAACCCACCCAGTATAACTAACTGTAACCTAACCTACACAGTGCATCTAACGTGTGTGGGAGCCTGGAGTGTCCCTTTAATAATATAAACCCACCCAGTATAACTAACTGTAACCTAACCTACACAGTGCATCTAACGTGTGTGGGAGCCTGGAGTGTCCCTTTAATAATATAAACCCACCCAGTATAACTAACTGTAACCTAACCTACACAGTGCATCTAACGTGTGTGGGAGCCTGGAGTGTCCCTTTAATAATATAAACCCACCCAGTATAACTAACTGTAACCTAACCTACACAGTGCACCTAACGTGTGTGGGAGCCTGGAGTGTCCCTTTAATAATATAAACCAACCCAGTATAACTAACTGTAACCTAACCTACACAGTGCATCTAACGTGTGTGGAAGCCTGGAGTGTCCCTATAATAATATAAACCCACTCAGTATAACTAACTGTAACCTAACCTACACAGTGCACCTAATGTGTGTGGGAGTCTGGAGTGTCCCTTTAATAATATAAACCCACCCAGTATAACTAACTGTAACCTAACCTACACAGTGCACCTAACGTGTGTGGGAGCCTGGAGTGTCCCTTTAATAATATAAACCCACCCAGTATAACTAACTGTAACCTAACCTACACAGTGCATCTAACGTGTGTGGGAGCCTGGAGTGTCCCTTTAATAATATAAACCTACCCAGTATAACTGTAAACTAACCTACACAGTGCATCTAACGTGTGTGGGAGCCTGGAGTGTCCCTTTATTAATATAAATCCACCCAGTATAACTAACTGTAATCTAACCTACACAGTACATCTAATGTGTGTGGGAGCCTGGAGTGTCCCTTTAATAATATAAACCTACCCAGTATAACTGTAACCTAACCTACACAGTGCCTCTAACGTGTGTGGGAGCCTGGAGTGTCCCTTTATTAATATAAATCCACCCAGTATAACTAACTGTAACCTAACCTACACAGTGCATCTAATGTGTGTGGGAGCCTGGAGTGTCCCTTTAATAATATAAACCCACCCAGTATAACTAACTGTAACCTAACCTATACAGTGCATCTAACGTGTGTGGGAGCCTGGAGTGTCCTTTAATAATATAAACCCACCCAGTATACTAACTGTAACCTAACCTACACAGTGCACCTAACGTGTGTGGGAGCCTGGAGTCCCTTTAATAATATAAACCCACCCAGTATAACTAACTGTAACCTAACCTACACAGTGCATCTAACGTGTGTGGGAGCCTGGAGTGTCCCTTTAATAATATAAACCCACCCAGTATAACTGTGTAACCTAACCTACACAGTGCATCTAACGTGTGTGGGAGCCTGGAGTGTCCCTTTAATAATATAAACCCACCCAGTATAACTAACTGTAACCTAACCTACACAGTGCATCTAACGTGTGTGGGAGCCTGGAGTGTCCCTAATTAGTATAATAACTGTAACCTAACCTACCACCCAGTAGTGTAACTAAACTGTAACTAACTGTAAACCTACACAGTGCATCTAACGTGTGTGGGAGCCTGGAGTGTCCCTTTAATAATATAAACCCACCCAGTATAACTAACTGTAACCTAACCTACACAGTGCATCTAACGTGTGTGGGAGCCTGGAGTGTCCCTTTAATAATATAAACCCACCCAGTATAACTAACTGTAACCTAACCTACACAGTGCACCTAACGTGTGTGGGAGCCTGGAGTGTCCCTTTAATAATATAAACCCACCCAGTATAACTAACTGTAACCCAACCTACACAGTGCATCTAACGTGTGTGGGAGCCTGGAGTGTCCCATTAATAATATAAACCCACCCAGTATAACTAACTGTAACCCAACCTACACAGTGCATCTAACGTGTGTGGGAGCCTGGAGTGTCCCTTTAATAATATAAACACACCCATATAACTGTAACCTAACCTACACAGTGCATCTAACGTGTGTTGGAGCCTGGAGTGTCCCTTTAATAATATAAACCCACCCAGTATAACTAACTGTAACCTAACCTACACAGTGCATCTAACGTGTGTGGGAGCCTGGAGTGTCCCTTTAATAATATAAACCCACCCAGTATAACTAACTGTAACCTAACCTACACAGTGCACCTAACGTGTGTGGGAGCCTGGAGTGTCCCTTTAATAATATAAACCCACCCAGTATAACTAACTGTAACCTAACCTACACAGTGCATCTAACGTGTGTGGGAGCCTGGAGTGTCCCTTTAATAATATAAACCCACCCAGTATAACTAACTGTAACCTAACCTACACAGTGCACCTAATGTGTGTGGGAGCCTGGAGTGTCCCTTTAATAATATAAACCCACCCAGTATAACTAACTGTAACCTAACCTACACAGTGCATCTAACGTGTGTGGGAGCCTGGAGTGTCCCTTTAATAATATAAACCCACTCAGTATAACTAACTGTAACCTAACCTACACAGTGCATCTAACGTGTGTGGGAGCCTGGAGTGTCCCTTTAATAATATAAACCCACCCAGTATAACTAACTGTAACCTAACCCACACAGTGCATCTAACGTGTGTGGGAGCCTGGAGTGTCCCTTTAATAATATAAACCCACCCAGTATTACTAACTGTAACCTAATATAATGATTGCATCTGATGTATGCATGCCTGGAGTGTCTGTATAAAATGTATCTATTTTTCTTTCTACAGATTGTCACCTTGTTGTCTAATTTTGGGGGACAGCTAGGTTTATGGATGAGCTGCTCCATGGTTTGTGTTCTTGAGATTGTGGAGATTTTTCTCATCGACTCCTTTTGGGTTGTTCTTCGTCAGCGCTGGCAGAAGTTTATCAAGTCATGGAGAGAACAAAGGGAAAGTCCACCTGAGCATAACCATAATATTCCAGTCCCTGCCATGACAGGGCATGACAATCTTGGCTGCTTAGGAGAAGATGATCCACCTACATTTAATACTGCTCTCAAATTACCTTCAGCCACAAGCTGTGAAGTGCCACGGACTCCACCACCAAGATACAACACATTACGTATTCAAGCATCCTTCCACCAAGAACAAACTAACTTAGAAGACATTATAGAGCATCTATAATGGAATCATTCTCCTTATGATCACTTAGGTAATATGAAGAGTAGCTACAGTTCAAAAAGACTTCTTTGTCTTTTGACGGGGTCAGAACTTCACTTTGCAGACTTTTATAAATATAAATTGATGCTCATAAATGCACAAAGTGATAAACAAGAGCGTTATTTGCACTCACAAATGTTGTGAAGACTTTGTATGGAATACCAATTGTTGTATCTGCGTCAGAACTTATGAAAGGTCTCTATACACTTATGGGATATCTTAACTCATTCACAATGTGCCATGGCCATACAGAGTGGATTGTTTAAAAGCCACTATTTATTATTTATCGAAGGTGGGGTGGCCTGACGTGGTGGGCTGTAGTATAGAGTGAAAGGTTTTGTACACTATGTATAATGGCTGTGATTTGCTTTCAACAAGGATGTGCGTTAGGGGTGATGTGGTGCCCTGCCTTGAGTCCTGCAAAGTTTTCAACCAGCACTGACAATTGTAGCATGTAGTATAATCACTCAAACACTACTACTTGTGTGTTGGATTTGCAATTTTGGCTTTTGGTTTTACTTTTAAACAGTTGTTTAGAAGAATCAAAAGTTATTTTAGCAACAAAAATTATGTGTAGGTTTTTTCTATCCCATGCCAAGAACCTACATGTATGAACCTGTCAGGCTGCTATGGTCACATATAGTCACTCATTGCATCTGCAAGGAGAGTCTTTATTTCCCAGGGAAATGATAAATGGGTATCGTCTTTACCCTAGGTCATATTGATGGGATTCTGACTAAGCCTCCTCATTCTCTCTACACATGACAGAAATCACTCGCCATCAGCCTCACACCCTGCTTTCCTCATTAACTGGCGATGTGTTTATGCTGTCTGTTTGCACATCTTGAGCTGTCAGGAGCATTTGAACTTAAAGTGTTGTTCTATTAAAAGTAAAAGTCAATAAAAAAAGAGTATTGTTACTTTAATCCCGTCATGACATATGACTCGCCAGGACAATCCAGACACACGGGACATTTCCTAACCCCTTGCTAGGAAGGAGAAAGGCATCAATGACATCTAGGGTTAGCATTGTATTCCTATGCAATATGTTTTATCCACTAACCTGGCACTCAAATGGTTAAGCCTGTGGGCTGTGCACAAAATGTATTAAATGCTGCTACTCTTTGTGAGTTACCGAACAAGTTAATAGACTCAACAAGAGGTTAATGTGAACATTGCCAAATAGTAATTGCAGGTAACATGGGGTTTATTAAAGTAACAGTAAAGGTTAATCTGTTTTCTGATAACAAGCAAGTTGTCTCTATTGGTTTGATTTCTTCATGCTCAATAATCCATTTTAATTAAGGGCAGTTGACGCTTTCCAGAACAGCTCGGCCCACTTTGGACAAGAGTTGCCAAAACGATTGACTTCCTAGTTGCAAAGCATTATGTTAGTTGAGTTCTAGGAATCTACCTTTTTAGGAATGTACCCTAATTAAGGGGGGTGTAGAAGGGAGGGCATTTTGCATGGAACATTTGCACGGTGTCTTGTACCACCAACACAAAAGCCAGTGTCACTGCCAAACATAGACTTTACCCAAGTTTTTGGCCACATTAGCAAGTCTATTGTCTATGCTTGAACTTTACCTGTCAATCAATTGGGCTCTGCTGTAATAAGGAAAGATATCTGAACAACTAAATGTGTGAAAAATCTTGAAAGCCTCATTATACTTTAAAATGTATAGATTTAAAATGTTTCACTGTGAAAGGATGATCGTCGTAGGCTTGAGTCTATGTTCAACCTACATAATAATATGATTTTATTACTGTCTTAAGTAAACAGATTTTCCATAGAGATCAAGTCCCACTGGAACCACTGATGAATTTTCATCTATGCAAATATCTATCTATATCTCTACTGCTGTCTATATATTGAAATAGATACATAAATATATTGTATAATTACCTATACACGTATTTGTATATATGTTAAAATGTTATATTTTTATATAACCAGGGCATATTATTTAACATTGTTTATGTGATATATGTGAATAAACTCGTTTTTATAATAAAATTCACTTTGACTACTTGTTTTCTTCTGTGATATCTTATTTACTAATTTGAGAATTATGGAGAAAAATCCCACATTACAAAGAGATTGAGAGTAGCTTATTGCTCGTAACATGTTTTTAGCACAATGCCAAAAAAATCGTGTTCGAGGTGGCAAATTAGTGTTTCTAGAATAAAAATATAATCAAGCTAGTTACTATTTAGCTTGTGTCATTGAGACTGGTCTTGTACTGACTGTAGGACAATAACGCATAATCGTCTGACAATTTAGTTACATTTGGAATTGGAATGTCAGCAGAATTGAGAAGTTACTAAATATCTGGAGCATGACATTAAACATAGCAATCTCTTTAATGGGTGTTTGGAGCCTTTTTTGGTCTTAAGGTCTCCTATCCATATTATCCCAAGAATTATCCAATGCATTAACTAATAATGACTTCATTTCTATCTGCTCACTTTCACATGGAATATGTACGATTTTCCATCACAATGAAATGAAATACCTTCTTTCAAATTTACGTTGCAAGAGCTTTCTCCTTACGTGGTGGGCTATCGCAGTTCTGCCCCTACGATTTGCACAGGGCTTATCCATCTAGAGTCCAACAGCTGAGTGTCACGACACTCCTTAGTTGATTTGCCCTTGTGCAGTACTCACACTCACCACTGTTTCTGTTTGACACTGTTTCTAATTTCTTTTCGTTAAGCACTTCACCTAGTCCTTGTTTAGCACCTATATAGTTTGGTTTCTCCCCTCACTCCTTGCCAGATCATTGTCTCTTGTCTCCTATTTCCCCGGTTCCTGGTTCCCTGTGATTCTGGCTCCTTGCTCCTTGATCCTGCATACTGTTCCTTCATCCTGTGTCCTGTGCCTCCTGGTCTTCGTTCCTGTGTTCTCCTGGTCTTCGTCCTATGTCCTCGTGGTCTTGTGTTACTGTGTCCTCCTGGTCCTTCATTGCTGTGCCCTCTGATCCTGTGTTCTGGTTCCGTGTTCTCTGCTTTATTAGCAGTGATCCTGACCCTGCAGCCTTGTTCATTTATTCTGCTTCTGATCTTGCTTCCTGGTGTCAGTATATTAGTCTTGTGACTTTGATCTGTGCCCTACCTGCTACTCGTGGTAACTGCACAATCCTGCCCTTATACCAAAGGACTGTTTCAGTATACGTTTCCTGCACGATTCATGCTTATTCTGATTTATTGTATATATTTTGTGGCATTGTATATATATTGTTTTGTTTTGTCTTTTGGTTCTCTGTAAATATATATATATATATATATATATCTTGATTTACCCTATTCATTTGTGTCTTGGCATTTATTTCTTTGCTGTATTCGTTCCCACATTTAACGTGACAGTGCTGTTCCAGGGCAGTGCTGTTCCAGGACAGTGCTGTTCCATTCTCCTGACTCGGACTTTGGCAAATGGCTTGTTGATCCTCCCGACTACAAAACCATAGTTCCTCGCGAATTTAAAGCTGAATGCTTTCCAGCCCAAACTGAAGACGCTGATGTTGAGGGGTTATACAGCACTGGCGATCCCCTCGTGGACCAGATCTTCGATGATATTGGTGCTCGCTGTATAGCAGCTCTGGATGATGAGCAGCCTGAACATGAACGCAGTACCAGTACGCAGTTTTCAAATATTGTCTTGGTACCAGAGACCCACAGTGCCCTTATGCCACCGTCTCTTCTCTGCAAGATCAACTCGCCTATTCCCAGAGTGAGAATACCGCCTACCAAGATGAGCGATCTCGACAGAAAGTGTCTCAAGCAAAGTCTGCCCAGCCACGAAGCAGAAACAGACACACCTGAGACAACAACCAGAGAAACTAATTCCTCCATCACAGTGACAATTGAGGAGACCACCAGTAACCTTGACCAGGTAACTGTATCTGATCTGGATATCAGTCCCGCAAAGGACAATGCAGTTCATGCTCCAAGGGACAATACTGAATCTATAGAATCAGAAGTTCCAATTTCTACACATCTTCCTGAGTCATCTAATACTGGAGACTCGAAACTGGGAGAGTCACCTATAAAAGTTGCTTCGGGCGATGCAATTGACGACAAGGCTGGGCTACTGAAGTTGGAAGCTAATCTCGTAGAAGATGATCCTCCTGTCAAAAGGCCACCAAATAGGAAACGTGGTAAACGACATACTTCTTCCAAAACACTGTCTGAGAAGGCTGAGAAACTTAAGAGCAATCAGTGGAAGAGGAAGTTATCATCCCACAGGCAGCTCACGACTTTGATGTGGAGAGGTTGGATGATTCCAATTCTAACCCCTCTGCCTCTGGGGGGTTCGAGGATTGGCAAATCTCTTACAACCGCAACTGTAAAAAATGAGTTGACACAAAGTAAAGAAGACTGTCATGCTCAAGTGGAATTCAAAGAGTCAGACTTGGTGCAACGTGACAAACTCGAAATGGATCAAGCCCAAGAAAAGGCTCTGAATGAGACAGGGCTTGTTCAGAACCCATAGTCTGAAGAAGAATCTACAGTGAACAATGACTATATGCTCAAGACTACAGATGAGGCAAAGGATGCTAAATATACCTCCCCTTCTAGTGTCTCTAAGTCTGAGTCTTTTCATGGATCAGACACTCAGAACCTTAAAGTTGAAGATTTTTCTACAGACCAATCTTCAAATGACATGACTATTACCGAATTGGACTTCACAACATTTTCTGAGCAGATAACGGAAATCTTATCAGAGGTCTCCTATGGAAGAAAGGTATACGTGTCAGAATTTGCTGAGGAAGTGACTAACCCTGTTTCCATTAAAGAAGTGCAAAGGTCGGTTAGTAATGAAGGTTCCGCGTTTGAAGAACCGTCTAACCTTCACCGAGTATTAAAGGAAGAGGTGTCTTCATTTCAGTGTTTTCCTATACCACTTAATGGACTACCTCAAACTGAGCACATTAACGGAGAGAATGATCTAAGTGACCAGGTATCTTTATCTGTTACAGAATTATATCAGTTTGAGAGAGAGTCGTCCCTGCTTCGGCTGGCCTCATGGTCCGAGAGATTGGGGGAGCCGTCCATTGATGCATTTCTGCGGTCTGAGGAGGAGGAGGGTTCGCAGAGTGCTCCTGATCCTGTACTCATTAATCTAGGAGATTCTTATCAATTGCTTCCAGTGGTATCTACCAAAGCTGACTCTGAGAATGTTCTCCCTTCTACAAGTTGCACCGTGACCTTTATTCCGAGGAACTAACAAGCCTGAAACCAAGTCAGACCCAGGACCTCTGAGGAGTGATGCTCCTGTTTCTAGCGATAGCCCCAGGTCTAGTAGGATGACATGTTTGTCAATCACTGATAATGTGAGTTCCTTATCGTATGTATCCTTGATTTCTGTTTACATGTCTACCCTCTTGGTGTCTTATGATTCTCTATGGTCCTTACTGTTCTATGCTTCTACCCTGCCTCATTGGTTTCTTCCTTGGGACTTTCCATTTGTCATTCCTCCTAAGCCTCCTGTGTCCTCCTGGTCCTTCGTTGCTGTGCCCTCTGATCCTGTGTTCTGGTTCCGTGTTCTCTGCTTTATTAGCAGTGATCCTGACCCTGCAGCCTTGTTCATTTATTCTGCTTCTGATCTTGCTTCCTGTCAGTATATTAGTCTTGTGACTTTGGTCTGTGCCCTACCTGCTACTCGTGGTAACTGCACAATCCTGCCCTTATACCAAAGGACTGTTTCAGTATATGTTGCCTGCACGATTCATGCTTATTCTGATTTATTGTATATATTTTGTGGCATTGTATATATATTGTTTTGTTTTGTCTTTTGGTTCTCTGTAAATATATATATATATATATATATATATCTTGATTTACCCTATTCATTTGTGTCTTGGCAGTTATTTCTTTGCTGTATTGGTTCCCACATTTAACGTGACAGTGCTGTTCCAGGGCAGCACACCTTCATGTCATCACACTGAGACTTTGAGTTCAAAAAGTCTCTTCTTTCACTCAAAATAGAATGCTGAGAATTCACCATCGTAGCAAATTGAAATGACCAATTGTTCTAATTGGCTACTGATGTCACATGTTCCAAGAAGCTACTTTTTCAAAGAATAATTTACTTTGAGGGTTTTGAAAATTATGAAGTTGGACCAAGATTGCTGCCACCATACTGAAAAACTTAAACTTAACCTTAGACTTAGTATAGCTCTGTTAGATAAAATACTGAACGTTTCTTGGCAACATTGTTTTAAACTGTAAAAAATAGGGTAAGTTATTACACACATGTGAAAATATAGAGATTTAGATTTTGGATAGTAAGGTGTGGCTTGGATTTTGGGTGGTAACTGACATGTCCCAACCCAAGCTCTAAGCCCTGGTATTTCTCGATACTTCATTGGATAAGGGCTTTATATGTTCCCATCTATCTATAAATATATTTTACTGCAAGTATAAATTATCCCATCTCATGAAGCCCAATCAAACGTTCTCCTTCCATCAAGTGACGGGAGAGACGTTTCAAAGTATATAATTATCCAGAATACAGTTATTATTCATTGTTTAATATATGTTATCCAGTTCTATAATTGCCGCAGCAAATTAATTAACATCTTAAAATAAACTCTTAATTTACAAAGGAAGTACAAAATGTACTTCTAATAAAGAATATACCAATGCTTGAATAATTCACAATGACAAACAATGACAAATGTACTGACAAACAATGACAAATAAAGACCTCGACTGAATATTTTAGAATAAGCATTTAAAATATTAATCATTTTGGATGAACTTTAAAAAAAAAAAAAATCTAAATATTAAAAGATAAGAAAATATATATAATGTATAAAAATAAATACATTTGAAAACCTTTTTCAAAATATTAAATAATTTTTAAAGATAATCCAAAAATATGAAACCATTTGAAAAACATACCCAAAAATACTAAATTGAGGCCAAAATAAGAATAGAATTACATTTTCCATGTTTGAATGGGAGTTGGGTAATAACCACTTATCTATTATTTTGCCTTGTTTAAAATATTTT